CACAACCCGTAGTAAGTTTTACATGATCCCACAAACCCCTTCTGATATCTCATAGGAAGTTTCAAACAATCCCACAAACCCCCTCAAATATTTCATAAAACTCATTACAATCATGGTTCCCTGTTCTTATCAGCTACAAAGTTAATTTTGATCCTCTTCAGGGCTGTGCCTAAGTAGCTCCTTTAACAGCATATCAGTCAGTGGCAAAAGAGTGCTGGTCCTTGTTATTGTCACTGTTACCATCTGCTTGTTAATGTTTGTGTGTTTAATTCACAACTTTCATTAATTTTTGTTCTTTACACCAAGTAGACCATAACCATGTAACCTTATGACCCTCTCATATTCCACATCTTCTTACAGGACAGACACTTTATTTAGATGGACAGTATATATAGTCTTGAGCCTGATCAGTCTCTTCTCTCTTCTCAGATGATGAAATGCTGGAGTTTTGCATTGGTCTCCAGACTCTGTTGTCTCTCAAGGTAAGGAACAGCTTCCTAGCTTATTGCAGGGCTCCTCTCAACACGTTCTCCAAGATTTAGTTGCTGTAAACATCAGAAATACTTGTGTTTAGGTCTTTCAGTGCTTGCAATGCTTGTTGCACAGCTGCCTGGCTGGAGTCACCAGTTCCTTTCCAGTCCTTATTCAAGGTTTTAAGAAAGGAATCACCCAATAGGATAATATAATATCTCACTTTCTTCATATTCCTGGTCAAACAAGTTGCAAACAGGAAGACGAAACTGAAGAGGAGACAAGAAACACTGTGTCACCAGTTGTATTTATGTTGCCTTTTGAAGGCGGATGTAAAGAATCTCTGCCCTTGCTTTGAGCCAAATGAAGCTGAATCACATTCAGTGTCCAACACCAGCTGGACATGGGTGGAAAGGATCCTCTTGTCAGCTCAGCTCAGGGTTAGTGGTCTACTGGCTCCTGGGTGGCTCAGAAGCTGCAGCAAGTCTGTCAATTACTTGTAGCCACATATCAGACTCCTAAAGCAGGAAAAGTATTGGGCTGAATGGCCAAGTGATGTGAAGACATCACCTCACAAGAGAAGGAAGAAGGGAGGGAAATGGTCCTGAGAAGGGTTTGGAAAAGAATCCACTGAAGGTAATAGGAGCAAGGAGGCAGCATGGGGGTCAGGGAGGGAACCTGCGAGGTCTCTACAAATCCCAAGTGTGGTTGTTTGATGGTTATACAGGTTTTCCCCAGTCATAAAGAGATTTCCTCTCTGAAATGTGCAGCAAGTAACTGGGTCTCCTCTTCTTTAGTGTTGCATCGACTTGGAGGAAGGAGTCCTGAGATTTAAAGCACTGAGTCAAGAGCTGCCTTTTCTACATGCTTCTGAAGAGCCTGGTCAGTGACTGGCTGAACTCCCCATATCTGGGGCTGAGGAGACTTGCTGCCATGAGAAAGAGATACGGGTGAGGTTCAGGTGCCCCTAACCTTGCTGACTCCTAGGCTGAGGTATTCACTGAGGAGTGAGAAAAAAGCAAGTGAGTGCTGGAAGCTGCTGTTGCTGGGAGTGCCTCATCTGGAGGGATACCCCTCCTTTCAGTGTATGCTCTTGCTTGCCCCCATGTGCTAAGTGGGCATTTTGTTCTGGCTTTTCTGCCTGTCCCTAGCCACTGCAATTTCTGCTTCTGCACTAAATTCTCCCTACTCTTTTAGTTACTTATTTTTACAATACTCTTTGTTCATGAGACAAGAGAGAGTCTCCATGACAACCTCTAGTTGTTCTGTGGACAGGATGACAGCACTTTCTCCAAAAGCCTCTGAAGATTGGGATGAATGTTCTCCTTCTCTTTGCCTTGATGTGAGTGGACTTCACTCCCTTTCCTTTGTGGGAAGGGCTCTGTGGCCAGTCCACTCACCTGTACTCTGGGAAGCTGGATTTTGTTACTTTTTGCTGACTCAAATCAGAACTATTCTCTTGGAAGAACCTTGCTGCCAGAATACTTGTAGAGTTCTTAAGGCTAAGAAACCTTTGCAGAAACACTGAGTGTAGATGCCTGGAGTACGATGGACACCCTCAGGGGCTTGGGTTTTGCCACTGCATCCTTGGTCACTAAGCTATGTTCATTATGAATGGCAATGCTCATAATCTCTTGGTGTTACATATAGTAACCAGACTTGAACACCCTGTTCTCACCAGGCCTCTCCTCTCTGCACCCCAGCTGCTGCTATATTCCTGTTACCTCTACTGCAGATCCTGCCACTCTCTTTAAATGCTGCCATGTCACAGCACCCTGAGCAGCTCCACACAATGTCCCTTTGTCCACCCTTAGAATGCCATGACATCCTCAGTTTGCCTGTCATCCTGGATTAAACACTGTTGGCTTTCATACTTTTTTAATCAAACTGCTCATTGTTTCTGTTGTTTCTCAGAGAATGCATGTATCTATTTTTGCTTTTTTTTTCGGTTGGTTCTTTCCTAAATCAGATCCTGTCTGCTGCAGTTTAACACATGCTAGGGACAGCAGAGTACAGCCTGGCTGATGTGATCTGGGATGCACCTACCAGTGTCAGTTGGTGTGACTCACATCTGCTTCTCCTACAAGCAGCACCAGGCTAGGGACTTCTATTGTTAATCATTATATCTTGTGGCTTCTGATCTGTTCCTTTGCTTCTCTGCCATTCTTCTACTTGCGCATCTGATTATTTCTGGCTGCATGAACTACTTTTAATGAATCTCCTGAATGACACCAACAGTTCTCTTATTTATGCTAGGACCCAGGTCAGCTCCACAAGCCTGTTTCCCAAAGTACAAATTCCTGGCTTTGTATCGCTTGTGTGTCTGACTGTCTCCTCAAAACCAGAGTTCTACAAGGATAGTTCAGACTTATACTAAAACATCCTGTGTGTCAGCTGGAAGTTATGTGGCACCTGGGTCATCTCTGCTGGAAAACCTCTTGGTTTTGATAGATAAAACAACTGTTCCTGTGTGCAGCAGCTTGCCTAGTTTCCAACTCTTGTTGCCTTCTGAAAATGGCATGTGTAACAATGGCAAAAAATAACCTGCTAAGGCTGACAGATACCACATTCAGTACATCTCTTAGTATTCATTCACTTCTGTTTTTTAAAAAAACAGGGTAAACCCTAACCCTAGACATTAAAACCAACTCTAGCCCTAGCCCAAATGCTTAACCTTAACCATTACCCTAAATCTAACACCTAAAGCTAACCCTAACCATAAATGCTAACCCTATACTTAACCCCTAAAACTAATCCTAACCCTTAAACCTAATCTTTAATGCTAACCCTAATCCTGACCCTAATCACAAACATAACCCTAATCCTAAACATAGCCCTTTAAATCTAACCTTTTAGGCCCCTGATTCTAACCACAAAATGTAAACCTAATCAATAATAAAATGCCAACTGTAAACACTAGGCCCAAAACCTAGCCTTAATCCCCAACCCTAACCATTAGCCTTAATGCTAACCCCAACCCTGACCTTAACTACTAACGCTAACCCCTGACCTCTAACTCTAACACTAAACCTAACTCCCTAAATCTAACCAGCTAACTCTAACCCTATTACTCTAAAACCTAAATAAACCTAATTCCAAAACCTAAACCTAATCCTAAACCTAACAAACTCCTAATACTAAACCATAACCCTAAACAGTAGCCATAAATGTAACTCTACCCTTAGCCCCTAACTCTAGCCTCTAACCCTAATTGCTTAAACCTAACCTTAACCACTAGCCCATAAACCTAAATCCCAGCTGCTAAATCTAACCTCCTAACACCCTAACCCCAAAACCTCAACCTAGTCCTTTTGGAAAAGCCTATTCTACAGACGCAGTTCTCTACCCCCCATTCCAGCTGTTGCTATTGCTTTTGAAGGACAAAAGGAAGGAGCTTTCTGAAGGTCTTTTCGACTAGAGAGAAAAAAAATGTTAATACTTTCATATGGAAAGTAGAAATTTAGTACCAACCTCAGAGTGGGACAGAGGCACATCCTGTAACGTGTCCAACACTGGCTTCCTCATGATGAGGCCCCTCTCTCTAATGTAGAGAACAGAATGTGATCATTTTATGGATAATCTCTCTGACCCACCTTGGTGCTCAGCTCCTACCAGGGCTACTTTCCACTAGAGTGGACACAACAGATGTGAAATGGCCTGCAGGGAAGTGCCTATTGTGGCAAGTCTTAGAGAAGCAAATGCTACATGGCAAGTGTGAGACATGTACAGCTGAACTTGCCTGGGAATGGGGAGATGGACTTCTGAGGCTCCTTCCAAGCCTGTGTGCAAAAAGTAAACCTATGTTAAGAAGCCATAACCAGAATAACTTTTAAGGACTTTTGTGTCACTTAGTTTTGAACAGAATGGGAACTCCAGCTGTCCATACTCCCAGAGGCCTGCTCCTGCTTTCACCACTAGCAGGTGAGTTATAGAACTGAAGACCACTGAGTCACTGACACATGTTTGCAGCCAGGTCTCCTTTCAGGAGACTCCAAGAGACGACTTGTAGAGTTCTAGAAATAACTACATTCAGCAGAGATCGTAAAAATGAGAGTGGGGATCATGTCTCAGGAAAATAAAGCAACCTCCTCCTTGCTAGTAAATTGAGTGTCACACCCAAAGTCATGAATCATTTTTCTGCAGATATGTCTGCCAATACCGTGGGACACTTGCTGTGTGCTGGCACTGGGACATACAAACCTGTCTTGCAAATCCTGCCTATTGAAAAGCAAAGAAAATTTCCTGCTGCATGGGAAGGAACAATTTCTAATTCCGACTCTTGCAGCTTCTGTTGGCTGGCAAGGACCAAGACGCAATGAGTTACAATGAATGTGGCTCCTCTTTCAGTAGGTGTATACTTCACGAAAAATTGTTGCAAGTAGAAGTAGCCTGAAGCGTTTACTTCAGAAGTATTGACTGTAGCCAGTCTATTGTCACTTCTGAGTTCAGACCATGAAAAAAGAAGGAGTTATATTTTGCCAACGAACAGTACAGAAGTTCCAATTAATTCTTCTGTAGACAGTTTCCATTTTCCTTTGTGCAGAAAGGGCACAAGAGCAAAATGCATCTGCAAGTTACTATGTGCTATCACCAATATAAAACCACGAGGGGAAACTCTCAAACCTTAGTAATTTTCCTCTCACATGGTTTTGAGAGCTGAATTTTTGGGAAATGCATGATCTGTAGCATCCATAGTTTCACATCTCTGCTTTGCACAATGCAGCATGCCTAGGCTTGCACAGCACTCAGCAATGTTATCCTCAGGCAACAAGAGGGCAAGGCTGCACAGGTTTATCTGTCCAATATGTGCATTGTTTTTGCCCCATTTTCTTAGGAAAACATCATCTCTCCCAAATTAACCCCTTCCTGTTTCTTCTCAACAATTAGCTGTCCAACTGTGGATCAATCTGACCTTCCTTCTTTGGAAATCATTTGACCTGTTTGGCAAAGTTTATTTTCACAGATGTTTCAGTCATATAGCCATTTGCATTCCCCTTGTGATGTTGCTAATAAAGGTTTATTTTTGGCATGGACAGATAGCACTGAGTTGTTCTCTGTTCTGAGTGTAAACAATCCTGTTTTCCTGTTAGGCCTCAAGAAAGGATCACAATACAGCAGCACTGCAAGAGCCTGCAAGACCCAGCTACCAGATTGGCTCACCCTGGCCCAGCTCTCAGGCAAATAAAATACCCCAGGCAGTTGCTTCTTCCAGCAAAGGAACAAGAAAGCACTTCCATGGAGAACACCTGACCCAGCAAAGCCAAACAATGTTGAGTGAGGCCATGGCAGGCACAAGTTGTAGTAGAACTGATCTGTTTTGGTCAAAGCACACAGAGCAGAACAGCTCATCATCCATGCAACGATACACATGCCAAGTTGTGCAAGCCATGACTGAAAACTCAGGCATTACTATTTTTTGTTGCTTGTAACTATCCTGTTTCTGTCCCTGGTGGAGGAGACAGAAGCCACAGAATTAGGGGGGGGTGAAGTGGTAGGGAAGGAGTAGAACAAGAAAATACACTTTAATTAGAGGGAGAACAGCAGTCTGCTCAGGATCGAAGAACAGCATTTTCCAAGCACAAGCCGGTTCAGGGACATTGCTACAATGTGATTTCTGTCATTTCATACAAATGCTTCTGGAAACTGTTCTGCAGTCCTGCTCCACGCTGATGTCATTGTGTCAGTTCCACTGATTTTGAAGTGCAAGATTAAAATCAGGCAGTAACAGTGCTGGGTAGAAAGTAACCCAGAACACAGTGAAACCAAACTGCTCACCCCACCTGTAGACACTTGCTTCTCCTCAGCTGAGCCCCAAGGGGAGATAAGAGTAGCAGCTGCTACTTATTCACCTGAAGGGAGAGAAGGGAGAATCCTTACTTGTCTAGTGATTAGAAAGAGAAGGTTTAGGTTTTGGTAAAGAGAGACCTGAAAATAGCAAAAACCCAATATACACTGTGATCCAGGTAACATCCCCACAAGACTCACTAGGAAAGGACAATGAGACTGATGAGGGCACAATGAGTCTCACTTGACTACTTTGCCTGAAATAGTTGCTATTGCCCACAGGGAAGGGTGGCTGTACATCTCAGAATGTGAGAGATGACAGTTTCTTGAGGTTCCAGTCCAAAGCTCACAGGCTTCAAGAGAACACCTTGCTTTAGCCCAGAAGTAGATGGTCTCTATCAACTCTACATAACTGACAAACTGAAGCTCTGCTGCTCTGACCACCATGGTTATCACAGAACCATTATGAGCTGAGAGCTCCTGCCTGAAGGGTCAAGTTGTACACAAGCACTCAGTATGACAGGTGCACATTTAAGAAATGCTTCTCAGTGAGGTCATTAAAATGGAGAGAAACTTCCCCTGTAGTTAAGAGTCAGAAGACACAGCAGTTAAAGAAGCAAGAAGTGCTAGCTGGTACAGAGCAGGTCATACCATTTCACTGCTCCATGCTTCAACTTTCACAGCTATTAAACACAGAGGACAGAATCTGTCCTCTATCAAGCTTGTTTAAATCTACAGATGGAAATCAGAAAGAAAAACTAGAGCTTATTATGTAAAGATCCTGCCCTTCTACCACATAGAGCTACTCTAACAACTGTCTTTTTGACCCTTTTCTCTATATAAAGTTCTTTATCCCAGCCAGGGCTGTCCTTGGATGTTCTTCAGAGTATAGCACAGCAGGTTTTGAACAGCCTGCAGTATTTTAAATGTTACGTCAAGAAACAACACTGAATTATACTTGGTCTGGCTCTGATACAGCCCTTTTGTAAGGGTCCAGCCATTATGCATGTCCAATGAGACATCCCACAAGTGAGAGAATAGATGCAAACCAGCTAGTGAGCCTCCTGCTCCTATCCTAGTAAGCTGAGTTAGGCAAGGGGCAAGCTGAGATGGGGAAAAGCAGAACACAAGCAGCACACAGAAAGGTTCCTATCCCAGCTTTTGTGCATAAAAAGCCTGGGTGAGTAATGGACTTTTCCAGATTGCACACCAGCCAGTGGAACAACATCTCCATTCCACCTCTTCCATTTGTGCAGAACTCAAAACACCATGGCACTCTCCACAAGAGGGAACTGTGGCATTGCCACTGCTCATTATGGACTGGCCAAGCTGTCACAGCTTCATGGTTAAAACAGATTCCTCCCATTGCCCAATTCACAGCTGCTTTGGTAAGTCACAGGCATCTCTGGGATCACCCTGCCCAAGAAGATGGAGACAAGCAGTACCTCTTGAGTACAGCTGGGGTACACTTGAGCTCTTACCTCTTGACACTTTACTAGTGGCAAGTTGTGGTTCTTTCTTATACGTCTCCAGCTCCTCAAAACAGGAGGCGGTTTGTGAGAAAATGCTTGGTAGAAGAGCAGCAGCAGAGCAAAGGCAAACAATGCCTGTGTCTACTTTAAAGTAGTGGCCAAGAAGGTCCTTGCCTGCTTCCTAATTCAGTTTCTCCATCTGCAGTTCCTGCACTGTGATCCCACTAGGAACTCAGAAGTAATCACTACAGCAGTCGTAAGAATAGGCCAAAAAGAGACTGAGCTCAACTATTCTCTCCATCTACATCCTCAGTGCTCCTTCACAGTCACTCATAAAGCACTTCAGCTAGCAGAGAAAAATGGAAACTGTTCATGGGAGGCCAATGAGCAGGACCCTGGACTCTCGATATTCTGGTAGTTTCTTCAGCTAGAAGCAAATTAACCCACCACCTTCACTCAAGCCTACAGCCAAGCATATGCCTCCACAGCACTCAGCCTGTACACCCTTTGCTGTCTGGCAACTTTGACAAAGATGGGAAGAGTCTCATCCTCAGTAGATGTCCAATTCCAGTTGGAGAAGAGTTTTTGTTGGTATTAAAGATGTCAGCCTCCATGTGACTTGTTATAAGGGATTCTAGGTGACAGCGTAGTGAGCAGAGGAATCTGTTCCAGTAGCGTCCTGACACTGCGAGGGGCTGCTCTGCTGGTGTTTCTCAGGAAAATACAGTGTTTTGTGAATCAGATCTTTGACAGCAGAAACATCACTTCTATCTATGGAAGAGAGAAAGACAGGTGTTAGGGATTCTCAACAGGAAGTATGAAAACCCTTCTTCCTCAAGAAGTACCTGGAACTCTAGTTCCTGGAATGTAACCTGCCAGCAGCCTTTCCACTCTTTTTTTCCCACTTTCTGCACTCACCCACACCTAACTGCTGCAGGAGTTTTCCAAACTCTGGGTCACGATCCAGGATTTTCAACAGGTTGGTGGACTCCATTCTCTCCAGCTGCACATCCCAGTAGATGTAGATCTTCTGATTGAAGCTGACATAAACCAGGCAGGGGCTGTTGCTTCCTCCTTTGCATGCATAGAGGCCTAGGAAGCAGAAGAGTGGAGATATGACTACTTCCAGAAGGACAGAAAAAGCAAAAAGGGAAGCTCCAAAGCAGTTAAGACATGGATTTGGGTATATGAAGTCCCTTTGAGACAATCCAAGAAGGTGTCTCTGAACTGTTATTAATGCCCAGAGCTCAGGGATTTGCAAACTGCTTCTTGCATGTCTGACATAGGGGACTGAGCCAAAGCTCAGGCTGGTTCTGTGAGGCTCCTCATCTCCACTTAAGAACAGTTTAGAAGTTAAAAAAGCCACGGGGGAGACAAGAGGCCATTCTAATGCTTATAAAAAGGACAGGAAAAAAAACCAAATACCATCACAAACCTCAGCATCACCTCCTCTCACCCTTACTTTTCCCAGATGGCATAGGGGAAAGACTAGCTGGTCTTTCTGCAACACACACAACACAGGGAAATTATTCCCCACTGCAAGAAGACATAGGATTCCAGGCCTCCCAGAGGGGAGAAGCAGCTCTGAGGGAGAAATGCTGTGAGGGCTGGTTTTGGAGTCAGGCTTCGCACCTGCACAGAACGCACTGACGTTCTCATCTGCTTGAAATCTGGCAACAGTGCGGTTGTGGTCGATGATGTAGGTCTGGCCATCCCATGCACAGGCAATCACCTCTTCATGCCCATTGCCCTGCAGGAACCAGAAGATCACGTATTAACACAGACATCAATTAATCCCAGTCAAGAATCTTTCCTGCTTGTTCAGAGATGGAAGACTAATGTCTGAACAAGATGTCACTTTTTGTCTTGTCCAGACACTTTGCAATTGCCCAGACACTTTGCATTTGAAGACCATAATTATTTTCTCTATTGTAATCCTTGACATCTTGCAGACAATCGGGGTATTATCAGTGTTCAGAACTGCATTCAACTTTGCAGCAAGATAAAAGAGCAGCTGCAGGATGCAAAAATTCATAGCAGGATGCTGGGCTCACTAGGTCAAACATACTCGTGACACAGACAAACACAGCTCAACCTCTTGCAGGTGAACAGACTGACAGGAGTGCACAATACACCAACACAGTCAGAACACTCTTTGTGTTATCCTGAGATAATCCCATATTTGTTCTACTGAGTCATACTCCCTCTGCCCTTCCTAAATTCATATACACAATGCTATGCTGAGTTTTTCTCTTCACCTCTCCCAGTCCTATTCATAGACACTTACAGTAACATCCAGCTTTTCCAGACCAAACAGCTGGTGATCCACCTGCACAGACCAGAGCAGCTTGTCTGCTCCCTCCATGAGTTTCAATGTCCCTGAAGGGAAAAAAAAATAAATTAAAAAATTGTATTAAAAATATTAAAAGGGAGCAAGACACTTGCTAACACACTACTTCAAAACTTAGGGTCTGCAGGCAGAGGGCTAGTCCCCTGGTACAGATTACGGTTGATAATAGATGACACAGTCTCAGTTCTGGGAAGGACAACAGTCCATTACCTTGTCATCAGTAACCGGAAACAGAAAGGAAAAAATGGCAGCAGCTCTGCTAATTGGATTGTGCTCTAAGACAAGAAAAAAACTGGCCAAAACAGACTCCCAAAGTACAGTACATCAACAGATCTCACATGAGACAGTGAGAAAACTCAAGTTTTACACAATGTCCCACAGGGGGAAGTGACCATGAGAGTGGAACATAAACATGAATCTATCCTCACAGCCTTCGTAAGGCTCATGAATGAGCCATAGTGAGGCAGAAAGCCTTGCCAGATACAGAAGGTTCAGAGCTCAGTTACAAAGAATAATCAGAAATTCCCTAGAAGGATATCCTCCTGCAGGTGGACATCTAGCCCAAATAAGCCAGGCTGCCTGTTTGGGAAGAGAGAAACACAGCATCTTCTCTCCAACACTGTTGGGTTTTGGATAGAAATGCTGTGTTCAGCTCATTAGATTCAGTCCCATTGCAGTCTGTCCTATAACTTCTCATCAGGGGCACAGCAAAAGAAATTGGCTTCAAGGCCTGTGGTAGGCCAGCTACTCTCTATCAATACTAAAGTTCCAGCATTCCTTTACTGCTTTTGGAAACAACCCAAGTCCTTTCAAGTACAAGGACAACTCTGCTGTGGTTTAGCAGCTCCTGTCTACATGAATGGCGCTGCTGAACTGACATCTCAAACAGTTGTTTGACCACTGGGTAAGCAGGCAATTTAGGAGTCAGTAGATGAAAGTTCTAATCCTGCTCTTCAGCTCAAGCTTTCAGTGTGCCTTTGGACCAGTGAGCAATGACCCAGCCTCTTCATTTTCAGGGCTGCTCACTGCAGTATGGCTTTCATATTTCTAACCCCATAGGCCATGGAACTATACAAGTAATTAATGTTTGTAAAATGCTTTGAAATTTGCAGATCAATCACTGTGCTAGGGGAGAGAGAAAAGCAGGTATTAGTAATGGATAGAAAACACAACAGGTTTCCAGGACAGAGGAAGCCTGTGCAATATCAGACCAAATTCAGCAAGGAACAAAAAGACAGGCTCAGCTTTAATATGTTTCATCGTATCCTCAGATATAGTCGTGTTATCCCGTGGTTTATAGGGGATTTGCTCACAGTGACAATTTTGACCTTGGCTTCTGTCTTAGCTTTATGCCTTCGTGTAAAAAATGCCAGCAGCAGGAGTTTTTAAGTAAAAATCTCTTGCTTGACCTAGGAAGAGTTTCTGAAGCCCAGCTCCCCATCTTTCAAGACCAAAAGCATTGAGCCTCTGGTTCACTGCTTTGAATTAGTGACAGGCCCACAGGCTTTTCTCCCAGGACAGTGGTAAGACTTACCATCCAGAGTACAGAGGGCAAAGAGACCTGAGCCACTATTCTCACTGGAGCAACCTGTAAGTGCAGAAGAGAATTACAGGAGTTGATGTACTTTTATTAATTTTGTCCCCTCTCTCTCCTGAAAGAGATCCAACACAAGGATGTGCAAAAAAAGGAGGCAGAATGGATCAGCATCCTGCCTCTTTTTTGCCCACTGTTGACACTTTTGCTTAGGAGATATCAGCAGATTTGTGCAACCAATAGTACTTCATGCTGGCTCTTATTTGTAGGGTACTAGCATCTCAAAACCTAAGACCTTTGGCTTGAACTGATATAGGCATGTCTGGCTCTGCTGGCTGTTCCTAGGAGTCTTTCTGTACCACATAAGCACTTGTAGGCCCATGGCAGTTCTGAATTTAGGATCCTCTCCAGCCTCCAGAAATGCATAAGCACAGGCAGGACCACCACAAGGGACAAAGTGAAGAACAGCTGAAGCCAAACAAGAATATTACAACTATACCCTCACACTTTCTTTCAAGGACAGGAATACAGCCTCCACCTGCTTTAGGAAGGTAGATGGGGAAAAAAACAGAGAGATCCTGTCAGAAAGACAAAGTGTCAGTCAGATTTGCACAAAAGCACTGTCATGGCAACTCCCAAATGAGTCTGTGGAGATCAAGCTCCTAAACCTATTGTTTTTGCTACAGCAAAAGAGAATCTGTGATCCTCTTCCAGCTAACAATGGATATATGCTAGACAGCCATTGCTTTATGAGCAGATTAGACATCTGCCTTCACACTTACTGATACACTCTGCCCTGGCTTTCCTGGGCTATGCTTATACAGCTGTGAACCTCCTGAAACAGTATCCTCTCCAAAGCCTGTATATCACAGTTGTGTTCAGGACAACACTGACAAACATGACTTAATTAAATCTGAAAAGGAGAGTTCCCTAACCACTGGGCTGCATCAGCCATTCAGTACAGCTCTGCCTAGCTACCAGTCAGAAAAAGACATTGAAGATCAGGCTTTGTAAGTGATGTCACACCTAGCAGGGGAGGACTGGAGCTGTATTCAACTATGTTCTTCACAGTGACAATGTAGGAAAGACACTGGCTCCCCAAGGTCTGCAGGAACCCAGGAAACCTGACAGTCAAGGACATGCCAGCAGAGTTGAAAGCAAATATGCAGTTTCATCAGACTGATGTAAGACTGAGAGCCTATCTCCATTGCCCATGGGACAGCTCCAAGCTGCAACACCCTGTACACTCCCAGGATCCAGACCACTGTATTTGACCCCACCTGGAGTACTGTGTCCAGTCCTGGAGCCCCCCGTACAAGGACACAAAGCTCTTGAAAAGAGTCCAGAGGAGGGCCACAAAGGTGATGACAGGGCTGGAGCACCTCTGCTATGAAGACAGGCTGAGAGAGTTGGGGCTGTTCAGCCTGGAGAAGAGAAGGCTCTGGGGAAACCTTATAGCAGCCTTCCAGTACCTGAAGGGGCTACAGGAAAGCTGGGGAGGGACTTTTTATGAGGGCTTGTAGTGAGAGGACAAGGGGCAATGGCTTAAAACTGGAAAAGAGGATATTTTGGTTAGATACTAGGAGTAAATTATTTAGTGTGAGGGTGGTGAGGCACTGGAACAGGTTGCCCAGGGAAGCTGTGGAAGCCCCATCCCTGCAAGTGTTCAAAGGCAGGTTAAGATGGGACTCTGAGCAACCTTATCCAGTAGGAGCTGTACCCACCCATGCAGAGGGGTGGAATCTAGATTATCTTTAAGGTTCCTTCCAACCCAAACCATGCTATGATGCGATTACTCTATTTCTGCAGATAAGCTTAAAGCCAACAGCCAGCTAGATGAGTGCCCTATTGCCCCCAGCTGACATTCATCCAGACAGGCTAAGATTCAAAAGATCTGCTGTGTCCCACTTAGAAACTGGTCAGCATGGCACTTTTCAGCTATTTAATTACTGATGGCCCAGCACCATGGCTGGGTTATGGCTTTCCATAACTTTCCATCTCTTATTCTGTGTGCCTTCATTTTGTGCCTTTCTGTATTATGCCCACACACCCCAGGTAAAAGTGAAAGCTGCTTATTCTCCATAGGTACCAAAACAGGGTTCAACAGGTGCACCAGGTGTAGGTCAGAGTACAGAGCAGTTACACAATGGAAGCACTGGCAGCATGTAAGAGAAGTGTGGACACAACAGCAGTGTGTCAGGGCTGAGAGAAACCAGCAGCTGTGGAGAGCTTAGATACAACAGCTTAACAGAATACATTGGAAGGAGACAGAAGACAATGATATAGAAGAAATATGGAAGAAAGAGCAGGAAATAGCTGTGAGGTATGGGGAATTAAATGCTGAAAAGCACAAAAGGAAGAATAAAGGTGCATCTGTGGAGAGGAAGAAATGCATCTAAGGAATAAGAAGAGGGCATAAGCTGCAGCCATTCAAATGCAATGATCAAGGATGTCTGTAGGAGCAAGGCATGGCAGCCATTCAGGATGACTAAATGCAGGCCAGTGGAGGCTGCAGAGAAACTGCTGTGCTAGGTGAAAAGTAAGAGATACTCAGGGAAGGACAAAGGCCATAAATAGTTCAAATGCAAATATCCAGCTGTCTTTCTTTGGAAGCTGGATAACAGAAGCCAAGTTCCCTTTGTTCTTGCAGTTGTCTCCCACTTGTTATTTTTCAACCATGGGAAATCTGATTTCATGCTGGACTCATGTATTGGAAAACTATTGGGGGCAACTGTTGGGCCAGAGACCCCGAGCTGCTAATCTCTCACCTCGGGCAATGCTACCAATGAGATGAGTGGAAACATTCTTGTTGTGAATCCGTCCAGATGTTTGGTGTAGAACAACATCTCGAACAGGGGCCTCGCTAAGGAAAAGAGAGACAGATGTCAGGGAAAGGTTAGGGAACCACACCTGGCACTGTGCTAGAACAATCTCAAGAGCAGTGTACTCCAAAGCTCTACAAATCCAGAGACTGACAGAGTTCGCACCTAAGTTAGTCCTTTAATGGTAAAGGCCAAGAAAAAGAACTTCTGCCACTGCAGGTATGAAAGAAACTCGCTAATGTTTAAAAAATAAAACCAGAATAATTTCATGTACCAGCTACTGGAAAGAGTTTAAAAAAAAAAAAAGTCAGTAAAACATGTACTCCAATCAAGGAAAAAAAGACAATTATTATCATTACTGTCACATAAGACTGGGTGCTTTTCACTCAGAAGTGTCTGCCACGGGTTGAAAAGGTCTAGGTTACTCATTTCCCCACCTTGGCCCTCAGTACTTCCCCCCTCAGTGAGCTTGATTTACCACCCACCTTGCACAACCCCAAGAGAAGAGAGGAAACAAGGACATTAGTGATAGAGATTGCTTTGTGATAGAGACATGAAGAGTATTAATGGAAGTCTGGACGCAAGTGGGCTCAAGTCATGAACTCTCAGCAGTAGAGCAGCTAGGTCATTGAATCTTAGACAAATGACAGCACAAAGAACACACACCCCCAGGAAGGTGGTGTCATCATGCCACCTTGTGACAGTCATCTCCAGCAGAATCTCCTCATCTACCCATGCAGTAACTAATACTCTTCACCTGCTTGGGGCAGAGTTGTCTCTTCCCTCTGTCGTGGCCTGCTGCTCAGTGTCCCAGGTGCACAGCAGAATAGCATAACCACAGCCTGGCTGAGACACCATCATCTCTGGTGAGCCATCAGGACCTGGGTTCACAGAGAGGCTGTCCACCTATATTGGCAGAGGAAAAACATGGATAGAGTGGAACTGAGAATTTTACACACCTCAGAAGGGTTCACTGTGCTCCCTGTATAGATCTTCTGATAGAACTGAGGAGCTGAACAAATTCAGCTAGAAGCAAAACGTACAAGTTACAGTAAAAGGTTATGCTTCCCTACCAAAAGCCACTAAAGAACATACTAGTATTTTCCACTAATGCTCTCTAGTTGGGTGAGAGCAACTGACTGTTACCCAGACCAACCCACCAGCTGCTCCACATGCACAGGACAACCACAGGGCAAATTTCCTTTCAAGCCATCAACACAACAATCACATTGTTCACAGGACCGAGATTTTATGCTTCTTCCCTTAGGAGAGCTACCTCTTGGAGACTGTATGACAAGTCCTGCACTGAACATCCTGTTTACTTACCTGACCTTCTAGCAGCCATTTCTTCAACAGGAGCAGCTGCCCAGAGATATGGTCTGAATTGTCCGACAAGTCTTCCCAGCGGAAGGCACGTACTACCCTGTCAGTGTAACCCACTACCAACTCACACTTCCCATCTCCATCTGCAAGAAATACAAGGAGATAGATGGGCTCTCTCAGGCTTCCATAACACCAAAACCCCCAGTATTCAGAAACTGCTGTCCTGGTTTCCATCAGGTAGCATCCCTCAGGATCCCAATCCTGTAATGAGAATTTGCAGTTCAGGAAAATTCCTGAAGTTCTTGCTTCTCTCCATGACTTGGGTATGGTTTGCTGGAGCGCTAATTTCCTTCTGTGACTCCCACACTTTTTCTGTCTCTCTTCTCTCCCCCAAGAACTCATACCTACACACTCGCTCACACTGCATTCCCATTCCAGCTTCCCAACTCACCAATGTCACTGATCAGCATGACCTTGGTGTTGGCAGGAATGTGCTGCTTGAACACTGGCTTCTGCTCTTCTGCTGCAGCAACCTCATGGTGGCCTGAAGCATCTGGGTGTTTTGAAGTTGGAGAAGTCAGGTCAAAAAGATGAAACCAGCCTTCTGCACTCACTGCCACCACGAGATTCTAAAAGAGAAGAGAAAAGCCTTTTGATTTCTCCTTTTTAAGAAACTGCAGAAGCTGCCCCACTACTGGAGAAGGCAGATTCAAAGGCAGATCCAACAAGACCAATGACTGCTACAGAGGGAAAAGCAGAAAGGTTTTGACCAGCATATGAACAACTCATGTACTGCAGGGTCCAAACTTCTTGTTCAGCTTTGTCAGACTAGGATATTAAGCTGGTGTGTGCTCACAATCCCCAAACAATGCCCACTTCAGCTCTGCTCCCCCCTGAAACACACACAGCTACTGTATTTCAGTCAGAGTGCCTAAATTGAGAGTTCTGAACTCAGTGGTCCTGGTTTAACACCCAGAAAACAGCAATCCAGCAAAAAGAGTCACATTAGACCCAGTGGAATTTGCTTGGGAGTCTAGACTGTTCTGTGGCTCAGCCTTGTTTATGTGACCCTAAATGCCCACAGCCAAGGCATGGCAGAAGGCCATGGCCTACACCAGGGACCAGCACAGAGCAGGGCAAAAGCCACTGAGGAAAACGAGCAACCCTCAACCCAAAGCCTTGTGGTGCTCACATAGGAAGACACATTAATGAACAGTGCTTTCTAAAGACTGGATTTTCTTGCTCACTAAAACCTGCATATGGCTCACAGACAGATAAATGTTCTATGTAAACATGAAAACAGTTTTAAAACAACAGTACTAAAGCTCTTTGAGCAAGGGCAGATCTCAGAGAGAAAGCACCTGCAACTTGTCCTCCTCCACACTCAGGATATGACATGACCCTTATTTCCTAAGCACCTCTCACGTGCCCTGCAGACACAGGTGGGAAGAGTTTGGCTGCTCTCACCTTTCCTTTATTGCATACATCTCCCACACCAACACATGTGAGCTGCAAGAGAAAAGAAATACATGAGAGAAGGCAACCCAAACCAGTATCTGTTCAGGATTAGACCTACTCTCTGCCCTACTGCCTCCTCTCTCATAAACTACTTCTTTAATCTTTCCAAGGACAAAGGGAGCAGAATCAGGGACAGAAACCCATTTGAAACAGAAACCCACACAACTGCCCAGAGCCCTGCAGACAAAATGTTCAGTGCACAGGAGCAGGGTCAAGGCTGGACAGGATCTCAGTTCCTGTGGTTGCTCAGTACTTTGCTCATCACTGCCCTACAATAGCTGTGGAAAAAAACAGGGCCTTGTGTAATTACATGAAAGACATCAGAACCAGTTCTGGCTGCCATTATCCTCTGGCCTGGGCAGTGGCCAAGGACAACTGGCTGCACAGACACCAAGAGACTCGATTATTTAAGAATTGTGTCAAGAACTGACCATTCCTTGGCAAGACCGCACAGCCCAGGGTTTGCTGTCATCATTCTTGTAAACATAGAGCTTCCCACTGGTGTCTCCCACCACTAGCTCGTTCAGCTGGACAAGAAAACCGAGTTAGCAGAGAAGTTCACAACCACGGTAACAATCAATCCCACACAGCAGTCATTACAGAATTCGTATCTAAAAATCATTATGTGGGAAGAAGCAGCAAAGCACAACTAATTGCACAGAGGCCTGGGGAAAAAAAAAGGCGTAACAGCACCAGGCAGCTGCAGCCCATAACCACTGAAACACCTGGGGGGCCCTACGACCCAGCCCCTGCTCCCTGACGTGGCTCAGGCGCTCGGCGAGCTCCTGAGGGACTCACGGGTGGCTGTGGCACCGCCTCCCCGGGCCCCCGCACCATCGCCTCGCTGCTTTAGAACC